TTCTCCTTTTTTAATGCCTTTATTGAAAGTGATCAGCTCGGGTGGCGAGAAGCGACAGGTCCGCGCTCATACCGCTGCTGCTCCCAGGAGTGGCTTGGAGGAGGAGGAAGAGTTTTTCCTTTGGTCTGTGGGCAGAGCTGGGAATTCCATCCTCACATGAGCACCAGGAGATTCCCTTAATTTTCTGGTTTAACATTGGAGGTCCTCTGTCTAGCTGACATCCTTTAACATTAGGGTGAGGGGTGAAACGGTCTTAGGAGATACTAGATTCTGTTCCTCACATCTAGGCATCACATCTATTTCATGTTAGCTCATTGTTTTTAGGGGCTTTTGGCTAGGTTTGGTGAGGGGCTTCTCCTGTTGCATGCTGGTTCTGAGGTCATTTGTATGCTAACTCCGATGTCCCCTCCTCTTCACCGTACTGGTGCCATCCTCCAGGAAGCAACAGGGTGCCACTTGACAAAAGGGGGAATTCTTAACCATCAAGGACAGGGAGTTAACGAAAATGACAGGTGATTGCAATAACAAACAGTTAGAACTCCACCCTGGCAGCAACTAGCCCAACCTGTGAACTCTGCAACCTTTAAAAAAGATGGGCAACTTTTCTACTCATAACAATGGGTGCTGGGAGATGCTAGCCCTGGACACGGTGTTCTCTGCTTTTCCTGCAGGCTCAATGGTGCCGTGATCAAGGGCTTTGAGGAGGATGTGGGCACCAAGGTCTCCTTCTACGGCTTCACGGTGAACACCATGAAGAACTCCCTCATCTCCTACGAGGAGTACGGCTTCACCCAGGTCCCCCAGGGAAAGGTGAGACCCTGAGGGCTTGTTGGGGATCAAGTTCTCCCTTCAGGCTGGGCTTGCTTCTTGAGACCTTCTGTCTTGGTTTGGAAAGAAAGGTGTCTGCTAAGGAAGGCAGAAGCATCCCCTGAAATGGAGAAAATGAACACCCCCGGCCTTTGAATTGCTATAAATTTGAAATTAAGGGACTCTCAGGCAACAAAAATTATGGGAGCAGGAAATAACAGTTCTTAAATAGGGAAGAAAATAAAAGGATAAAATAAACAATGCAGTAAACCAAACCAACACTGAGTCAGAACCCAGCCTGACACCCTGTGGGTCAGGGTGTTGGCAGCAGTCCCATTGGAATTGTGGCTCAGCCCTCCTGCAGTGTCAGGGGTGGTTCTGTTAGAGCAGGGATCCTGTAGAGAGGTGCAGTCTCTTCCTCTGAAGATCCAGGGGAAGAAGAGGCAGCTGCTGTTCCTCTGGGGAATCCAGTGGAGAAGCTTTGCTGGTGTTCCAGAATCTCCAGATTATGTCCAGGTAGGAATGCTTGGCTCCTCCCTCTGGGCTCCCATCTCCCAATGGGATGCTGTAGTTCTTATCAGCCATGCAGTGACATTCAATAGCTGTTATCAGCAATGTCCCCTCCCTAGGGAGGAGTGATTGTAGTCACTCAGAGAGAGAGATAAGGCAAACTGCTTACTTGACAAGACAACTGCCATACAGATGGTGACAGAATACATCTTGCCTTGAAATCTGGAACACCTTCTCCCCATCTTGGGAGCCCTCAGTCCTCGCCTGCAAGTGTGGGCTGTGTCCCTAAACCCCCCTGTGTGTGTCCTTGCTGCAGGACCTGAAGTACATCTTCATCCCCTCGGATATCCGGGACTACGTCATGCTGAAATCGGCCATCCAGGGCAGCCCAGTGCCCGAGGGCTCGGACAAGGGGGACGAGTGAGTACCTCCCCAAGATCCCCCCAGCACCCCAGTGATGCAGGCATGACTTGCCTGTCCTCACCCCACATCTGTCCCTCCTGGGATAAACCCCAAGGAGCTCCAGGACTCCCATGACAAAGTTCTGCCCTTCTCCTTGCCTTGCTGCAGCCCACAGAAGTATTTTGGACCAGAGGCATCTGCAGAGAAGTTCAAGCTGCTGCATCCTGATTTCCTGCAGTACCTGACATCAAGGTGAGGGTGATGAGCACTGCGGCTGCTGTCTGGCTCTGCTCTGGGCTGGGCTCAGACCATCTGCTTCCCCCTCTGCTCATTCCAGTACAGACCAGGAGCTGTCCAGCACCAGAGTGCAGTCCCAGTCTCTCCCAGACACCAGAACCACCCTGCCCTGCTGTTTGCACACAGGGCAGAGGAGTCTCCTGCCATTCCCGTTCACTGCAGCACAGCTCACACCCCCTCCTACACCTCCCCATGCACACCTTGGTCTGTTTCCCCAAAACAAATTACATTTTGTCCCAGTCTAACAGAAGCAAAGGTAGGGCCCAACAAGATGGTCTTTTCCTGCCTTTCATGAAAGCAGGTGCCCACGTTGGGGTGGCTCCAAACAGCAGAAAGGCGCCTTTTACCAACCTCTGAGCAAATGAGAGCCCTCGTTTCACTCAGTGCTCCTGCCTCACTGGGCACTGGTGTCACTGGAGAGGGATGGCTGGGTCTGGGGGCTGCAGGGCTGTGCCATCCCCACAGCCACCGTGTCCCCCCATGCCAGGTTCCTGCGCTCAGAGCTGCTCAACACCCAGTACAGCTCCCTGTACATGCCCAGCACCGGCGCCCTCATGCTCCTCACCGCGCTCCACACCTGCGACCAGGTAAGGGGCCACAGGGCCACTGTTCCCCTGGGAAGAAAGGGAATCCCCCCCTTGGCTGCTGTGGTGGCTGTCCTACATGTCCCCTGTGCCTGAAGGGAATGCTGGTGGTGATGGACCACCCGAGGTGAAGCCTTGACCCTTCCTGTGTCTGCCCCACCTCCTTCCCCACAGGTCAGTGCCTATGGGTTCATCACAGCCAACTACGAGCAGTTCTCAGACCACTACTACGAGGTGGAGAAGAAACCTCTGGTGTTTTATGCCAACCACGACATGATGCTGGAGGCAGCGCTCTGGAGGAGCTTGCACCGTGCAGGGATCATCACCCTCTACCAGCGCTGAGGCTGGGAATTGCCCACAGGGCCAAGTCCAAGGACTCTTGTGGCTCTTCTCCTTTCTCCTGAGGGTCACCTTCTCCCTCCTGAGGGCTCTCCCCAGCTGGCCAGCCAGCCCACGGAGCAGGCTTGCTGCACCACAGCCAGCAGTGATGTGAGGATAACAGGGAAGCTGGTGCTGGTGGAGGAATGTTGCGTCTCCTCAGGGATCAGTGTGATGGAACGTGGCCTTTGGGGCAGCCAGAAGCACCACAGCACGTGGCTGTGCCCTGCCAGCCCCATGAGTGTGGCTTTGGGGCAGCAGTGGCCCCTGTGGAGCACAGGAGGGGCAGGGTGATGCTGAAGAGGATGCTGGAAAATGCCCTTCACCTTAAATGCTCATCACCATGGTGGGACTGCAGCAGGCAGGAGAAATCCTTGCACTGGAGCTCAGGTGACAAGAGGTGACATGTCTGGGGAACACCTCTCTCCAGAAAGACTGCAAAGTCCCAGCTGTGTGTGGATGTATGCCATGCTCCAGAAGGATCTGTTTGCCTCCCTGGTCAGTGGCACAGAGAGCAGGACAGACACAGTGGGCCCTGTCACTGTTCCCTTCTTGAGGTCTGGTGTTTTCTGACAAGGAAGGGGCTCAAAAGCCATCAGCTCCAAGGAGGGTCACAGCAGCTCAGCCAGGACACCAGGATCACGTCCAGGCTCTGAGCAGCCCAGAGGTGACACTGGCCTGGGCCATGTGTGTGGCACTGGCTTTGTCAGCCTTTTCTTGCACAGGGACTGCGTGGTGCCTCTGAGAGGCAGCCCCACACCAGGTGGGTCAAAGGGATGGTCACTCTTAATTTCCTTCCCCAAACCCCCAGGGAAGGGAGGGTCCTGAACCCTTCAGCTGTCCCTCAAACACCAGCACTGCTCAGGGAGACCCACCTGGGGAGGCTTCTCCAGCTGGTGGGGGCTGGAGACAGAGCAGTGTAACCCAAGACACTTTCCCACTTTGTGTAATTACATAAATGTTGAATGATTGTTTTCCCTAACCCGTTTTTGTTGTTTTGATGAACTGAGTGGGGTGAGATCCCCCCTTTACCTCCCACGGCAGAGGAGCAGTAACAGGGAGTAGAGAGTTCAACTGTTTCAGAGGCAGACAGGGATGGAAACCAGTTTAAATCATGGAGATTCAAGACTGTTGTTAGTTCTGAGCACAGCCCTTTTCCACTTGGAATGCTATTTACTGTACAAGGTTGGTACACAGAGATGGCAAAAGATACCCTGGCCCTGAGCCAGGGAATCTCCAAACCCCCTGAAACTCCAGCAGCCTGCTTCCAGCTGGTTCACAGACTCAGATTAGGCTCCAAGCCTGTTCCAGATGTAATCTCTAGCCTGGGGCCCATCTTGTGTTCCCACGTCTCAAATTAACCTTTGTTCCCATCAGAGCCACCCTACACTGGTACCACAGCAGCCTGTCAGGCCTGTTCTGTGTTCCCAAACACTCAGCAAAACCTTTCGTGACACGAATGAGCCTGATCCTCACATCTCCTGGCCAAGCCACCCTGAAACCTCCTCAAACCAGCCCTGGCCAGGCCTCAGGTGACATCAGCAGCTCAGTGACACTCGTGGTGCTGCAGTCCTGCCTGGAATCATCCAGCTCACAGGCACACCAGGAACCCAACACTGGGAACCACAATGAGCTCTTTCCTTTCCTCTCTCAAAAAGGGACATTCCCAGGCAAGGGTGGAGCTGGAGTTAATTCCATTTTAAGGACTTGTTCATGGCTGTATTTCCAAGCACACCACAAGAACCATTTGGCACCAGACCTTAGCCATAAGTTAGTTTTGTCACACTGTTCCCATGAACACTTTGGGACAGAATCTGCAGACACTGAAGTCTGAGTTATCAGGTTTGCAATGAAGGGTAAGCTCACAACTGCCATTTCAGGAAGGATTTTAATCCAAAATCCTTCATACCTGCACAAAACCATTTCTGTCCAAGAAGAATCAGAATCATAGTTACAAAACACCTTTAAGAGCATGGACTCCAACCTTTACAGAAATAACCAAATAAAACCCAACTTCGACTCGTAAGATTTTCCACAACTTATTTTATTCTGGAACAGAAGAAAGCAGGGAACCACTTTTTCCTCCAGCCAACTGTAGGTCAGGTCCTGGTGAAAAAAAATAACAAAAAACAACATTATCAGAGCAGCTGAGAAGTTCATGATTTGCACTATTTAATCTGGAGTACAGGTCTCAGGAGACAAAGCCTTGCTCCTACCCAGGCCAATGGCACCAATACCCAAATCCTTTTTGGTTTCAGTGGTCCCTTACCCATGGTGTGGCTGCAGCAACCACTGAGCAGTGAGGAGAGCCTGTGGCTACACACAAGTGGCCATTTCATGACATATCAGCAGTCATTTGTGACATCCAGTCCAGAACAGTCTTCCTTCTAGATCTGTAAAAGCCACAAACCAAGACTATAACTGTTCTCCTAACAAAGTCCATTCTGAAACAATCCCTGCCCTTCTGATCTCAAAGCACTGAGTAGCTTTTCCTTGTCCCATTTATCCTCAGGCTGCCTCTCCACTTTCTTTTCCTTTGGAAGTCAAAAGCTCCAGGTGCTTGTCCCAGTGCCTGATGCTGTCTGGGAGACAGCTGTGCTGTCAGAGCACCCCAATGCCTGATTTGTGGTGCCATTCCCTCCCCTTTCACAGTCCCAATGACATCCCTGTCACCAGCCCTGCCGGCCTGTCACAAGCTGTTATTGACCTTCTGCAAACAAAACCAAATTCTGCTCAATAAAGCATAAAATCATTTAGCAGAAGGCAGCTGTCAGCTGCCCAAGACAAAGTGCTGTTCCAGCCTGTGTGTTCAGTGACTGTACAGCAGGGGAGATAAAAAATGCCTTTCTTATCTGCCCTTCAACTTGGCAATGTTTGCACAAGGAACTTGAAAGCTTTTTGCAGCTCTAAACTGTGCTATGACAACAGCAGCTGTGCCTGGGACTGCACCTGGAGCTGCCACACAGCCCAGGGTGGCAGGACAGGGGACAAACTGTGTCACTCTGGTGCCACTCACACCTACAGGGGACAGATTGTGTGAGAATGGTGCCACTCATACCTACAGGGGACAAATTGTGTCACTCTGGTGCCACTCACACCTACAGGGGACAGACTGTGTCAC